GGTCGAAGTCCAGGCAAACTGAATTGACAAATTTGACACGAATCTGTCTGATATAGCGATGTGGCTAGGCGTGGCATGGGTATACGTGCAGAACACAGAAGGAGGACAAGAGACAGTGAGTAGGCGTAGCTGCGATACGAAATGTCACGCTGTTCTTTGAAAGAAAACGCTCGAACGTAACATGACAAGTGCACACTGATCCATTGTCCTGCGTAATAATAATACAGAACCATGAGCATTCACTTAGTGAATGGAATCTGGCGCAATGTAAATGGAATAATAATAACAATAATAATAAAATAATCATAATTATCATTAATCTGTATACATAGTAGTAGTTGCGCTTCTGCTGCTGCTGATATTATTATTATTATTATCATCATCATCATCATCATTATTATTTTTATTATAGCTGGAAGTTCAACAATTGTGTTAATATTTTATTTTAAACAGATTAAATTAAATAAATGCAGCTAAGTGGGTTTGGGTGATCCTGGCACAGTCAGGCTGGTTAGGCTCATTATCAGCTCAGGGTCCTTGCCCCCTCTACACGCAGCCAAGACAGCGAGTGGGACTTCTCCCAGGAAGTCGAACCCATCGAGAGCTTTTCAAAGAATGTGAAGACTCCCCAACACTGCAGCCCTCTGCATTACCCAGATTGTCAGAAAGGCTGTATTCCTGGCAGGAAGCCGGGTACTCTTCCAATGTCAGTGAACAGATTGGGAGGTACCAAACCTAAGGCACCGAGAACATTGGGGAGTCGGACAACTTGGTACTTGGATGCAAGCATGACATTTCGAAAGCGAGGTCCGCATATTTGCCATATTGTTCCTCAATCTTGTCAATTACATTAGTGTCAGCAGGGACAGAAAATGCAATAATATAAATGATTTATAAAAAAAGGACAAGATCAGGTTTGTTGGCCTGGATACTTCTGGGTCTGTACACGGCCCTATTCCAAAGAATTTTGTATTTATCATTTTCCATGACGCCCTCTACATATTCTGGGTCGTACCATGGATGGACCTCTGTGTCCTGAGCAGCAAACAGAAAGCATTCTGTTTCACATGTTTTAGGCCAGCCAACTTCATCCAAGCCAGGAACTCCACAGGGTTGCTGGTTCTCTCAACACACTGCATATAAACTCGATGCAGTGGTCGTTCAGATAGCCTCTCCTTGAGTCTCGGCCGATCTGATATGGCACTTCGCTTGGTTGACACTTGTTTCTGTATCGTCAAGCAGTACAGAACCATCAACAAAACCAACATTGACATTAGGATTCCCACGTTATTTAAGAAATCTCATATTGGCCCGCTCAAATCCCATATTGGCCCGTATTGCTGCTCCAGTGCTTCTATATGATAAAGGCTGATTTGAGCGTATTAGAGAGAGTTGATAAATAATTATAGTTATTGCTTATTTAACTCTCCCAGACACGATGTAGCGTTGTCAGTACTTGCGAACATTCCAAGGAAAGACCTATTCAGCTTTGCTGCCCCTTATAAAAACATCTCAAGATACATGTTATGTAAATACATATTTTATTTCAAGAATAGGTAAATTCTTTGATATTTTATTAGTAAATATGTATAACATAAACAAATAATGAAATATGGTTTGTTAATCTCTCATACACGGTTGGCATACATGGAATATATTTACAATGACATTATAAGTATGGTTCCTGACTTAAGATATCAACATCATATATTTCATACATATATATGTATATACATTTAAAAAATATTACACTCTTATAGAGTAACCAAGATTGTCCAACTGTGTTGACTGCAATACGCGTAAGGGAGATAATCGCTGTATAGTTATGACAAGCTATCACATAAACGTTAAACCTTGACCCCCACCTTCCCCTAGGGCTATGTACCCCGGTCTTGTCCCTTTCTAGGGGGTTACATCAGCGCCTAAATGTGAATTTGTGTAAGTGCAATATTGAATTACTTGACTAATCTACATTATAAATGGCTATTTAGCAAATTTAACAAGGAGATCTTATTCAAACTTACAATGACTGTCGATTAACTATCGCCTGTGGGAAGTTGACCACATACCGAACAATCTGGGGAGAATGAATTACCGACATCTGTTGTTCTCCTAATAACATGCGCTACGGATCTCTGGATGTTTACTTCAACATTAGAGACCGCGTCGAATGCATTTCGCCAATCGTTACGTGTATCAATAGTTTTATATACATTAAAATATACTCAAGTACATTTGACATTTGACATCTTTCTATTATTCGGCGAATCTCAGATTTCATTTAAGATAAGCGAATCCACCATATCTAAGGCGCACAACTCTGCACAGCAAATTGAGGCAGTTTCGGACATCGTCTCTATCATTGTCTCTTTATGTTGAAAGCCGATCTTATCTACCTCCGGGTTCTACCGCTGTCGCAAGTACGTGAACGTATCCTCAAAGTGCGCAGGTCGAGTACTGAATAAGCACTTCATTTTCTGTGTCGATACATTTCCTGAAAAAAAGACCTTACTTTCGCTACATTCTGCATAGTTTCCCATTGTGACCTGTATATTACCCATCCTCGGGAGTCAGGGCTATGATATTTTCTGTCGGTAAATACACGTCTATCATATTCAGTCTTGGTTTTGACACGGCTTTGATGCTGGGAGACCTGTAGTGAATGAGTGACATGCGCGGAACCAGCCGCTGCATCATGATCAACACAGCACGTTATCAACTCACAAGATAACAGCATGAAGACTACGACAAGGGTAGTATCATTTGACACAGTGACAAAAATGGTCTGATGAAAGGTCAACAAAAGAGCACATCTCCCTGCTTCAGTAAAGCAATCCCCATACTGTATGGTCCAACAGTATATGATCCCTTAATGGTAAATTGAACAAAAAATGTTAGGGATAATGAATATTTTGGGGGATAGTTTTATAAAACTTTGTGTTCAGTCTTCACTACAGAAAAATATCCCCCCAAATATTCACGATCCCTAACTTGTTTTGTTTCGCATATATCATTGCTAATCCTCAACGGAAAAATCAGCTGTGGTGAAACTAAAGTAATAATTTCATATTCGAAAAGAAGTTTCAAATGAGTGGATGTGTGTATCAATCTCACTGTATCACTTTCATGCAGTGTAATCACTATTAATAAGAACAAAGAGAAAAAAACGAGTGGAAGAATGCGTCATACCACATTGTCCTGTTGGATTAATGTCATGACATAACAACACGGGGATACAAGGATATACATACGCTAACTGTGACACGTATTTTATTGTCGTCACATGTGATCATCAAAGTGCGCAGGTCGAGTACTGAGTAAGCACTTCATTTTCTGTGTCGATACATTTCCTGAACAAAAGACCTTACTTTCACTACATTCTGCATAGTTTCCCATTGTGACCCGTATATTACCCATCCTCGGGAGTCAGGGCTATGATATTTTCTGTCGGTAAATACACGTCTATCATATTCAGTCTTGGTTTTGACACGGCTTTGATGCTGGGAGACCTGTAGTGAATGAGTGACATGCGCGGAACCAGCCGCTGCATCATGATCAACACAGCACGTTATCAACTCACAAGATAACAGCATGAAGACTACGACAAGGGTAGTATCATTTGACACAGTGACAAAAATGGTCTGATGAAAGGTCAACAAAAGAGCACATCTCCCTGCTTCAGTAAAGCAATCCCCATACTGTATGGTCCAACAGTATATGATCCCTTAAAGGTAAATTGAACAAAAAATGTTAGGGATAATGAATATTTTGGGGGATAGTTTTATAAAACTTTGTGTTCAGTCTTCACTACAGAAAAATATCCCCCCAAATATTCATGAAGACTACGACAAGGGTAGTATCATTTGACACAGTGACAAAAATGGTCTGATGAAAGGTCAACAAAAGAGCACATCTCCCTGCTTCAGTAAAGCAATCCCCATACTGTATGGTCCAACAGTATATGATCCCTTAAAGGTAAATTGAACAAAAAATGTTAGGGATAATGAATATTTTGGGGGATAGTTTTATAAAACTTTGTGTTCAGTCTTCACTACAGAAAAATATCCCCCCAAATATTCATGAAGACTACGACAAGGGTAGTATCATTTGACACAGTGACAAAAATGGTCTGATGAAAGGTCAACAAAAGAGCACATCTCCCTGCTTCAGTAAAGCAATCCCCATACTGTATGTCCAACAGTATATGATCCCTTAATGGTAAATTGAACAAAAAATGTTAGGGATAATGAATATTTTGGGGGATAGTTTTATAAAACTTTGTGTTCAGTCTTCACTACAGAAAAATACCCCCCTAATATTCACGATCCCTAACTTGTTTTGTTTCGCATATATCATTGCTAATCCTCAACGGAAAAATCAGCTGTGGTGAAACTAAAGTAATAATTTCATATTCGAAAAGAAGTTTCAAATGAGTGGATGTGTGTATCAATCTCACTGTATCACTTTCATGCAGTGTAATCACTATTAATAAGAACAAAGAGAAAAAACGAGTGGAAGAATGCGTCATACCACATTGTCCTGTTGGATTAATGTCATGACATAACAACACGGGGATACAAGGATATACATACGCTAACTGTGACACGTATTTTATTGTCGTCACATGTGATCATCTAAGTAAAACAGAACGTATACACTGTTTATATGTTTTATACATAGCACAAAGAGAGATTCTTCGATGCTGTTTTGCATGAGGTAACATGCGATTGAAAACTAGGGCATGAAATTTCAGAAATGACTACAGATGCAATTGTGATTAACGTTTCCTGGTTTAGATTTCTGAGATATTTAAATAATTAAGATGACACGAAACATTGTCACGTCAGCCGCCACTGGGATACGAGTTCATGTATCAAGTCCCGTAAGTCGCCTCTTACAAGCATGGTCGCCTCTTACGAAAAAAGCACGGGTTTGCCTAAGACATATTCTATCCCGGATCTTCACGGGTTAAGTATTAGTTGATATTACAAGGAAATGCAACACCCATCAATAACCACAGTGAATGATATCCAGGAACGTGTGCACAGTTGCCCAATACTGTCGACAACGTTATATGCTCCCAAATGTGTCAAAAACCCATTATACTGCATGAGATGAGGGGATATGAAGCGTATATTGTCGTCACTGGATGTATCGTTGATTTCTTCAGATGAAAGACGGAAGATACAAACATATATCGAAATATCATATCTCAAAATAATGAAAGTGGCTTTCATAAACCAAGTATGACAAGCATATACCCACCAGCCATCAAGGATTATAAGGATTAGTCCATGGCACATAAAGACAATTAAATGTCAATATCATTCAAGCATAATTGGAATATCCCAGGGTGTCCATGAATAATTCAGTGGCGCAAGACGCCTGCTAGTGGCGCATTTTTCTCAACTGAAGATTGTGTTGTTTCTCGCTGGTGTCTCAGGCACTGGAGTTGGGGTGCTGGCGGCTGGACTGTAACACAAGAGACGAGACAATATACCATGTACTCGATTTCCCGAAAAAACACAAGACAATGAAGATTACACACTATACAGATGTTCTCACACTTTCAAGAGACAAAATACAACATGCACATGTTCTGACATATTCACAAGACAATATACCTCATGTCCTTACACAGTAACAAGACAATATACAACATGCAGATATTCTGACATATTCACAAGACAATATACCACATGTCCTCACACAGTCATAAGACAATATACAACATGCAGATATTCTGACATATTCACAAGACAATATACCACATGTCCTCACACAGTCATAAGACAATATACAACATGCAGATATTCTGACATATTCACAAGACAATATACCACATGTCCTCACACAGTCACAAGACAATATACAACATGCAGATATTCTGACATATTCACAAGACAATATACCACATACAGATGTTGTCACAAATCAACATGACAATATATGACATGCAGATGTTCTGACACATTCACAAGACAATATGCCTCATGCAGATGTTCTGACAAATCTACAAGACAATATACAACATGTTCTCACATAGTCACAAGACAATCTACCACATGCAGATGTTCTGACACATTCAGAAGACAATATACCACGTGTAGATGTTCTGACAAATCCACAATACATTATACCACATGTTCTGACACATTCATAAGACAATATACTACATACAGACATTCTCACACATTTAAAAGTCAATAACCGACATATTCTCACCCTGCGAACATTCGCATTTACACCTGTTCAACCCTTCACCAGCAATTATGTACGTAACCAATCAAAATCAATCAAGAACCAATCAAAAACACAATACGCAACTCTGGCAATGGTGCACAACGACACAGTGGCAGATACTGGGCCAGGTCAAGGGTTGTATATGTACAGCTATCTTGATTGTATGGCTCCGAAAGGTCTATTCTGCATCATACAGTGATACAAGTGAGTGTGAGTTGGGTTTCACTCTACTTTTAGAAATATTTCAGTAACATCTAGGCGGGGGTCACCAGAAATGGTCCTCTCACATTGTATCCATGTGGCGAATCGAACCTAGGCCTTTGACGTGACGAACGAACGCCTTAAGCACCAGACTACTTCACCGCCCCTACAGTTATATGGGTTTACTGGGTAACCATTATAACTCTATGTAATGCTTCAACCGTTGAGGCGGACACCCTGCATTCCGAACTATCAAGAACGGATACGTTGATATTACCGTGCTCCCGTACGTAATGTGTTACTCGTGACCTTATTGCAGTGAACATGGTGTTTCTCCGCAATATCGGAGGTGCATGTATTAAACTGAACCCATACATTGTCTTCACTGGATATGTTACTACTGAATGGTCAAATAGATGTAGAACCTTACCTTCAGCTGTGATCTCGGCGAGGGGGAGGCGTTGATCTGTGGTCTTCTTATCTCGAACTGAAAGATGACACAAGTTTATGGTGTATATTTTACCTTGCATCCTGTAGATGTACATAACACATCTCCATATTTCACTTTAGTGCAATAGTTCTCTGTTCCTGATCACAATTCCACGACATATTGGACTGGTTATGTTAGATCATTCATCACTAATATCCTCACATAACTAAAAGCCACAAAAACCTTTTCCATAAAAGCAGAGGTCATAGTAAGATTCCGACTACATCATAACTACATGATCATTCAAACATAGAAGCCATGACATGTTTATTTTTCCAGATCAGAACCGGCTTTGGTCACATTGAAAGAATCGTGCAAAGTTTAAGGCGTTACTCATATGCTAAAACATTCCGTGCAAAAAAGTAGCTTCTTCAAACACACGATGAATAAAATCAGATGTCAATGTTTGGACATCTGAAGGTTCCAAAGAGGAGAAGAAAGGGTCGTGCCTAAAACTAATGTATGGAACATCATTTAGTTGAAAATATTTATGATCGAGTAGCATTTATATCAGATTTGCATATGTTCAAACCTTTTAAACAAGCTTTTATATCATGAATAAAATATCTAATAAGCATTATAATCCAATGGCGGGCCGACATGAAGTATCAAAATGCCTTGATTATACGCATACTTCCCCATTTCAGACAATTGTAGACATAATGGAAATAACAAAGAACTTCGGTCAAACATTTTACTGCAAAAGGTTGTCATGGTATGTGCATTGTCTAAAGCTCTTCATCCTTGTAACCCCATTGGGATTCAGGGTAAGAATATAAGTACCCAGCAATCTATGATTGTTGAATGAGGTAACGAAATAGATCTGTTCGTGAAGGCTTGGTCACTTGATTGATTGCGTGTCATCCATTCCAATTACGTGGATCGATGCTCATTGCTGGTTTGTCTGGTCCAGACTCCATTGTTTACAGACAGCAGTCACATAGCTGGAATATTTCTAAACAACAAACAAACAAACTTCAGCTGTGTGACGACACACTGATGTACAAGGTTTCAGCTATCCTATGTCTACGATATACCTTCTATGAAATATATATTTATACCATTGTCCCAGCAGTACTCACTGTTTCATTGGGTGGCATGATCCGGTACAGGAAGTCCCAGGAGAAGTTGGAGAGGTCGCTGTCATCGGCTGTCGGGAAAAATATGTGTTAAGCCCCATTTCAAACACAAGAATGCAAATAAAATGACACATGCGACCGATTTCTCTGCGAGTACAACATAATATCTACTGCTGACTACAGTGTATATAGTGTACGGGTGGCCAAGTAGTCTTAGACGCCGTAATTTGCTGTTCAGATTTGCATCCCCTGGGTGTACCAGAATCCTATGCTCTTGGGTTTGAATCCAATATTCTTCCTGATAATGATTCTTGGTTTGTGAACATCATACCCGTGCTGGTGAGTTTTGCCAAAGTGGTGAACTTCTAAGACCTGCACGTAGAGCTTCCTGTAAGCTGACAGACAGTGTTAAAACTGAAATACTGTACAAAGAAGCAGTTGTGGACAACTTTATCATCACTAGCTGTATTATATGTTCTGTGTACTACGCAGCTTATTCCTTTCAATGTGTTGCTAGGATCTTAACGATGTCATACATGAGGCTTATCTAAGAAAGACACATATGGCGTGAATTCATTTAACGCCACTTTGAACAGTACGTGTCCATCTCAGTTTAATATAGTGTCGGAGATAATATCTAATAGTTTGACTTCAGACTATGTTTATCAGATCTTCAGTCTGCTTCATTCTCATTTGTATCATTATTTATCTTCCAATGAAGGTTGCCAATTTCACAATAATTTAATCATATATTTTCTTTGTTGATATCATTTTGAATATTTTAACCTTTTAATATTAATCAGTTTCATAAAACCTTATCGTCGTTTTCAGCACATCCCTATTAATTTACTTAATCTAAATTTCAGTGATTAACCCCGTGGGAAAGCCAGATTAAAAACATTCTCCTATCTCGTAAGAGGCAACTAAATGGATTTGATGCCAGGCTTGGTGTTCTTGTGGGCCATTGTATCCTGACAGCGAGGGACGTTCCTCATAATATCAATCGCTAGATTATTTACAGGTTGCCGTAATATATGTTGAACATAGCTGTCTTTGTCGTTTAACAGTTAACAAACAAACAGTACTTGTTTTCATTGTCATTACCTTTAGCATTAATCTCAGTTTCATTCTAAGTTTCTTTTTCAGCATTTGTACTGTTATCTGCATTCCGAGTTACATCAATTTTCATTCTCATTTCTTGTTTAGTTTCATTTTTTCTTTTGTTACTATTGATATTTTAAATAATGCAAGGCTCTCCCTCTAAATTTACTCACGTCGTTGATTCTGCTGATCTTTAGCGAACCAAGCACTGTCTCTGAAGCTACCCCGCCCATTCCTCTTCCTCCTCTTGTTGCTGTCATCACTGGATGCTGCTGAGAGGGAGTCGGGCGAGTACATGCCGCGGTTGGCGCTGTAGAAGCCGTCGCGAGTGGCCAGCTGACTGGAGAATGGATGTAGGTAGGAGTCGTATCTGAAATGTGTTAAGTATTATGTAGCTAGTGAAACCTATCGCTCATAACCACCACTCACTTGTACAATTATTTCCACTTGTACTCATATAACAACCCAGCCTCTATAATACATATACAACAGCTAGGCTAGCTTTTCATTCAACAAACCTAACAATTTCTCTCAAAGGTTTCATTTCACTGCCCTAAATGTGCAACTAGGTCCATCTGGTCTACTTCACTTCCCCACTTATACAACAGCTAGACTTCTAAATGTAACAAGAAAAAAGCGTTATCACTATCCAGCGCCATGGGGCACATTAGAACTTTCTTTGGTCATATAGTAGTGAATATGAACTATAACAAAGAGTCCCATCGAGTCTGAAGGATTGGCACTTGGATCGTTATCAGAAAAAATGATTCAATGTGATACTGATACAAGCAAATGTTCCCTTGTCTTGACAAAATACCTCAGTCTTGATAAGTATTTCTTGGATAAGTTAACTTTATCAGTTTCTGAGAAAACTTGTTCCCATTGCTCACACTATAACCCAAGTAAAATAACATGGGCCAAGGACCGTAGGTCATTTAAAAAATAATTGACTGGACAAGTTTCGAAATCAGTCTTGACAAGTATCTCTTAGATAACATACACATGCTCATTCGATCAACGTCAGTAGTTTCACTATACACTAAGTTGAACACCGCGGATCAAGGCCATAACTCTGTAAAAAATGAATTTACGACACTAATTATCAAACTCATTTCAGATCATGCCCAGTAACATCAGTCAGAAATTTGGACCATTTTGAAAAGCGGACGGACGAACGGACGGACGGATGGACGAACTACGTTCCTATATACCTCGCGCCACTTCGCGACGGGGGATACTAACAATGTGCAGTTACCAGACTGTGATTCACTACCCAGCTTATACTTATACAACTGTCAGACTAGCTTCCCTGTTTCACTGCCGAATTAGGCAGACAGCGCCACTGGGAATGCTGGCTTCTACCATTCACTACATCCACCAGAACTCCCACTGGTCCCACTCACCGTTCCTCAGACGACCTCTCAAGACTCTTCTTCTGGTTTCTCATCCTCATAAAGATGATAGCGATGATGGACGCCAGAATGATGATGAAGATAGGGATACCCACGGAGAGGCCGATAATAAGTCGATAGTCGCCTGAACACAAACATGATTTGATTGGGTTAATATAAGTAGGAAGGCTTTGAGCATTTATTGAAACAACGCCGATCATATAAACAATGTATTCGGCTGATGTCCACTGCAGTATCCTCTGTTGACACTTTGTGTCATTAACTATATTCTGAAATTTGAGGAAGTGAATTCTATTTAGTTGTGTAACATGGCTAATTTATGGCTGATTCTACAGCACCATCTGGGGTTGATTCTAAATCGCTATATAATTTCATCTGTGTTCGATGAGGAATGTGTTCTATATGGTTATATAACATCATCTGTGACTGATGGGTAATAAATTCTATATCGCTATATAGATTCAACTGTGTTCGATGTGGAATTTGTTCTATATGGTTATATATCATCATCTGTGATTGAAATTAATTCTATATCGCTATATAATTTCATCTCTGACGGGTGATTAATTATATATAGCTTTATTGCATCATCTGTGATTAATTCTATATCATTATATAACAGCATCTGTAATTTGCAAAACTATTACATAATTAAAAACATTTATTGGAAAGGTGATTTCCAATCGCTCTATAAAGTTCTGTTTTAGGCAAAAGAAGATCTTAATGTGGAGCCGCATAACGATGTACTCACTTTCTTCTGGAACGAGCCTGAAAGGCAACACAGACTGATTAGCTGAAGAGTAAATGCTACATTTGATTTTAACTCATGTTATTTTACAAAAAATGTATATTTGACAGAAACAACTACTTTGGAAATATCTTTTATCTTTTGACGCAAGTTGAGAAAATGGATCTCTTACCTGCAGACTGGTGTATCGTTTTCATTGACGCAGACTTGGTTACTCTCACAGTTGGTCCTGTAAGTGTCACACACATCTTTCGTCACTGAAACAAAACACACAAGACTATTGGGAACACGAGGCATGTCAAGTGACACTATAGCACAGCAGACTGCTGAGAACATCAGTCACGGGGTACACGTGACAAATATAGCACAGGAGACTGCTGAGAACATCAGCCATGGGTTACAAGTGACACTTGCACAGGAGACTGCTGACAACATCAGACCTGGTGTACACGTGACAATATAGCACAGGAGACTGCTGTGAACATCAGTCAACGGGGTACACGTGACAATACAGCACAGGAGACTGCTGAGAACATTGGTCACGGGGTACACGTGACACTTTAGCACAGCTGACTGCTGAGAACATTAGTCTCACAGACTTCTCGCATTTTAGATAAGTCTCACCAGATAACTACTCTACAGTAATCATCACAGCAATATTCTATGTATTTTTTATTAGCTCTGTATATGCTACTATTTCACGTATCAAGTATCGCATATAGGGGTCTTCCCGTCTATTTGAAACCTATAGTTTAAAGGTTTGAAATCACTCGGGCTTGATAATACCTAAGAACAGATGATGTTCCGGACGAGTAGCGGTGTAGCCTGACTATTTCTGGGTGCGGCGTCAAACAATTAATGAACTAACAATCAGTACATGTCAAGCCTCACTCACCATTAGTCCCATTGACTGTCTGGGCCAGAACGGATGCATTTACTCCATCGATAGTTAAGTTACCCGATACCAGAGCGGTCGTGGCTTTGGCGAACACTGCGGCAGCGTCGGTGTCTCCCATCTTGTTAATTTCAGTTGTGTAGTCAGCGACGACACTACCCGATCTAAAGCACACACAGGACAAACGTCATATTTATGAAAATTCGTTGATAGCTTTTTGAAATGAAGGTACATTGACATGCTAGACTGTATTGGGTTCAGTAATTATCTGTGCAAATACTTGGTCGCTGTGGCTCGCACTTCGCTACGAAGAGTTGCGTCCTTTCAGCTTGCCAGAAACCGATGGTCATGGGTTCGAAGCCTGGTTCGTCCTGATCATATCTGTAGGTTTGTCAGAACTATACTGTGGTCGCAGGTTTCACCAAAGAGGTCAACGTCTGGAATCAATATCATTTTCCTCCCATATCAAGCTTATACGTGTTTATAACATTGAAATAGTGTACAAAGCGAGGTTAAATTCAACTCACTCACTCACAATCTGTGCTTATACAAGTTATTCAGTAACAGCTGAAATGCACGCTCAGTCCAAGGTGGAACTACTCACTTGATTTCGGTGACAACAAGCCAGAGAAAGGCCTCACGCAGCTTCATCGTGAAGTATTCAATCAGCTGAAACAAAAACAACGAAAGGTTGACATGAATATAAGATAACATTGTGAATAGTTAATGTATTGTAAAGATTAACTTTCCAACCATACAGTATTTATAGGGAATGCTGATGCTTACATAGGCAGGGTATTGTACACATTGAAATGTGCTGGCGTCACATGATTGTGGGTTCGAATCACTGACTCACTCTGATTAGGGTTCATGCTCTGTCAGTACCATACCCATGCTCGTAGCTTTAATCAAAGTGGTAAATTACTATGACTTGGATCACTTTGGGATTTCCGCCCATGTCAAGTTGGCACGCCTTCATATAAGTAAATATAATATGAATTTTCAGTGCAAGAGAATATCTACATTATGCGCCGAAACAGATTCCATTTGGCGTAAGGGCAAAATAGCAGTGAATTTATTTTGAATAGACAAAAGAAAATCAGTGATGACACCAGGTGTTCGCGAAAAGGGTGGGCATGTCCTGCCCTACCGGTAACGCTCAAAGCGGAGTAAACCGGTTACAGCTGTGTACTGGTGTACTGACGGGTACGAAGAGGGAGGTCACATCCCTAATCATCTAAGGCAACGGAATTGCGTTTCTTGGGCGTGCCAAAACTCACCCACTATCAAGTAAAACAATGAAGCGGCTTATGCAAGATTAAGAGCCGTCATGGACAAGACACGTCCAACCGAGTCTCCACGTTATCTTACCGCTCTCTCTATGTCTTTGAGTAGTTTGGTATATTCCGCCGTGGTGTTATTGAAGGCGCTGTCGGACACATTTTTGTTCAGGGTGATACTAGCAGCGAATATTTCAACAGCTGAAAAGTAGACACAATTCATGTCATCTACCTGAATCAGCAAGAACTATGAAGAGTGGATGATCATTTCTCAACCTAATTACAAAGGATGTATGTACACGATGGACAGTTTGCATGTGTTAACTACAATACTCGCCATGCTCTGTACCCAAGTATTGTATAATGACATCAGTGGTGATCAAATCATTTCATTACGCCACATGTTTCAATGCTGATAATCTGCGTTTACTCGTCTACTCCAGTTACTTTCATGTCTTATTGTCTTTAAACTAAATATATTCAGGAACTATCTAGTTTGACACATCATTTTGACATGTGCATGTGAAATTAATTCTATATTGCTATATAATTTCATCTCTGACGGGTGATTAATTATATATAGCTTTATGACATCATCTGTGATTAATTCTATATCATTATATAACAGCATCTGTAATTTGCAAAACCATTACATAATTAAAAACATTTATTGGAAAGGTGATTTCCAATCGCTCTATAAAGTTCTGTTTTAGGCAAAAGAAGATCTTAATGTGGAGCCGCATAACGATGTACTCACTTTCTTCGAAAACGAGACTGAAAGGCAACACAGATTGATTAGCTGAAGAGTAAATGCTACATTTGATTTTAACTCATGTTAATTTACAAAGAAATGTATATTTGACAGAAACAACTAATTTCGAAAAATCTTTTATCATTTGACGCAAGTTGAGAAAATGGATCTCTTACCTGCAGACTGGTGTATCTTTATGCTTGACGCAGACTTGGTTACTCTCACAGTTGGTCCTGTAAGTGTCACAAACATCTTTCGTCACTGAAACAAAGCACGGCAGACTATTGGGAACGCGAGTCATGTCAGGTGACACTTTAGCACAGGAGACTCCTGAGAACATCAGACATGGGGTACACGTGACAATATAGCACAGGAGACTGCTGAGAACATCAGACATGGGGTACACGTGACAATATAGCACAGGAGACTGCTGACAACATCAGAAATGGGGTATACGTGACAATATAGCACAGGAGACTCCTGAGAACATCAGACATGGGGTACACGTGACAATATAGCACAGGAGACTGCTGAGAACATCAGTCACGGGGTACACGTGACAATATAGCACAGGAGACTGCTGAGAACATCAGACATGGGGTACACGTGACAATATAGCACAGGAGACTGCTGAGAACATCAGTCACGAGGTACACGTGACAATATAGCACAGGAGACTGCTGAGAACATCAGTCACGAGGTACATGTGACAATATAGCACAGGAGACTGCTGAGAACATCAGACATGTGGTACACGTGACAATATAGCACAGGATACTGCTGAGAACATCAGTCACTGGGTACACGTGACAGTATAGCAGAGGAGACTGCTGAGAACATCAGTCACGGGGTACAAGTTACAATTTAGCACAGGAGACTGCTGAGAACATCAGTCACGGGGTACACATGACAATATAGCACAGGAGACTGTTGACAACATCAGTCACGGGATACAAGTGACACTAGCACAGGAGACTGCTGAGAACATCAGTCACTGGGTACACGTCACAATATAGCACAGGAGACTGCTGAGAACATCAGTCACGGGGTACACGTGACAATATAGCAGAGGACACTGCTGAGAACATCAGTCACGGGGTACAAGTGACAATATAGCACAGGAGACTGCTGAGAACATCAGTCACGGGGTACACGTGACAATATAGCAGAGGACACTGCTGAGAACATCAGTCACGGGTTACACGTGACAATATAGCACAGGAGACTGCTGAGAACATCAGTCACGGGTTACACGTGACAATATAGCACAGGAGACTGCTGAGAACATCAGTCACTGGGTACACGTGACAATATAGCACAGGAGACTGCTGAGAACATCAGTCACGGGGTACACGTGACAATATAGCACAGGAGACTGCTGAGAACATCAGTCATGGGTTACACGTGACACTATAGCACAGCACCTAAGTCATGGGTTACACGTGACACTTTAGCACAGGAGACTGCTGAGAACATTAGTCTCATATTCTTCTCGGATTTTACATAATTCTCACCAGATGACTATTCTACAGTAATCATCACAGCAATATTCTATGTATTTTTATTAGCTCTGTATATGCTACTATTTCATGTTTCAAAGTATCGCGTATTGGGGTCTTCCCGTCTACCTGACCCCTTTTGTTTAAAGATATGAAATCACTCTGGCTAGATAATACTTAAGAACAGATGATGCTCCGGACAAGTAGCGGTGTAGCTGGACTATTTCAAGGTGCGGCGTCAAACAACAAATAAACTAACAAACAGTACATGTCAAGCCTCACTCACCATTAGTCCCACTGACCGTCTGGTCCAGAACTTTTTCATTTACTCCATCGATAGTTAAGTTACCCGATACCAGAGCGGTCGTGGCTTTGGCGAACTCTGCGGTAGGGTCATTTGCGACCTTCTTGTTAACTTCAGTTGTGTAGTCAGCGACGACACTACCCGGTCTGAAGCACACACAGGACAAACGTCATATTTATGAAAATTCGTTGATAGCTATTTGAAATGAAGGTACATTGACATGAAAGGCTGTATTGGGCTCAGTAAATATCTGTGCAAATACTGGGCCGCTGTGGCTCGTACTTCGCTACGAAGAGTTGCGTCCTTTTAGCTTGCCAGAAACCGATGGTCGTGGGTTCGAAGCCCGGTTTGTCAGAACTATACCGTGCTTGCAGAGTTCATCAAAGAGGTCAACGTCTTGAATCAGTTTCATTTTCCTCCCATATCAAGCTTATACGTCGTGATATAACTGAAATACTGTTCAAAGCGTCGTTAAATTCAACTCACTCACTCACTCACAATCTGTGCTTATACAAGGTCTTCAGTAACAGCTGAAATGCACGCTCAATCCAAGGTTGAACTACTCACCTGATTCGGATGACAACAAGCGTGACAAAGGCATCACTTAGTTCGCTCTTGAAGTAAATAATCAGCTGAAACAAAAACAACGAAACGTTATATGAACATAAGATAACATTTTGAATAGTTAATGTATTGTAAAGACAAACTTTTCAAACATACAGTATTTAAAGGGAATGCTGATGCTTACATAGGCAGGGTATTGTACACATTGAATTGTGCTGGCGTCACATGAACGTTGGTTCGAATCACTGATTCACTCTGATTAGGGTTCATGCTCTGTCAGTACCATACCCATGCTCGTAGCTTTAATCAAAGTGGTAAATTACTATGACTTGGATCACTTTGGGATTTCCGCCCATGTCAAGTTGGCACGCCTTCATATAAGTAAATATAATATGAATTTTCAGTGCAAGAGAATATCTACATTATGCGCCGAAACAGATTCCATTTGGCGTAAGGGCAAAATAGCAGTGAATTTATTTTGAATAGACAAAAGAAAATCAGTGATGACACCAGGTGTTCGCGAAAAGGGTGGGCATGTCCTGCCCTACCGGTAATGTTCAAAGCGGAGTAAACCAGTTACAGCTGTACACTGGTGTCCTGTCGGGTACAAAGTACGAAGAGGGAGAACACATGTGTCCTATTCATCTAAGGCAACGGAATTGCGTTTCTTGGGCGTGCCAAAACTCACCCACTATCAAGTAAAACAATGCAGCGGCTTATGCAAGATTAAGAGCCGTCATGGACAAGACACGTCCAACCGAGTCTCTACGTTATCTTACCGCTCTCTCTATGTCTTTGAGTAGTTTGGTATATTCCGCCGTGGTGTTATTGAAGGCGCTGTCGGGCACAGTTTTGTTCAGGGTGATACTAGCAGCGAATATTTCAACAGCTGAAAAGGTAGACACAATTCATGTCATCTATCTGAATCAGCAAGAACTATGAAGAGTGGATGATCATTTCTCAACCGAACTGCGAAGGGTGTATGTACACGATGGACAGTTTGCATGTGTTAACTACAATACTCGCCATGCTTTGTACCCAAGTGTTGCATAATGACATCAGTGAAATAAGCCACTTGTTTCAACGCTGATAATCTGCGTTTACTCGTCTACTCCAGTTACTTTCATGTCTTATTGTCTTTAATCTCAATATATTCAGTAGTGATCTAGTTCAAATGTTTTGATATGTGCATGTTTCTAATTCACAGTGGTAATCTGAAAGAGGAGGATATATTACCGTCACACGTCTTTCCATCCCGGTTGACAGTTTGCCCTGCTGGGCACTCACACTTGAAGGAGCCGCCTGTGTTAACACAAGTAGCCTCACACCCGTCACTGCCATCACACTTGTTTTCTAGGAATTGAAATATCGGTTTCAAAGGTATCATGTCAATCAAAAAAACAAAACAATTCGGCTTCAGGACAGTGATTGTAGGGACATTCTATATATGTGATCAACCATGAGATCACATTTTGACTTTTCATTACATCTCAAAACTATAGTATCTTCAGAAGACAAAAATACAATTCACAAGTTTCAATTCATATGTATTACAGAAATAGCTTGCATCAAACGTTTGGACTCATTTTCCGACTTATAACTGTTTATGTAACAATTGCAGGTTTAGATTCTGATGAATTGAAAGTAGACATGTATGATTAAAGGTTTTGAAATTATGTCTTCATTACATTACGAACTAACGAGAGAAAAATTTGATATGTTTGTACAGTCCGCACACATGGCGATTTTCTCTGAAGTAAGTTGACGTCAAACGTCTTTATGAATTCACAGCACAAATCACATCGCCATAAGGTCCGTTTTCTCCGGGTGGGTCACATATAAGAAAACATATAACACATTGCCACGGGCCATAGAATTGAAAATTCGTCAACACGGACTAGTCTAATGGCAACGGTAACGGCTTGCCCCTTCATCTAAGGGAACGCAGTTCGCTGTAAGCCGTGATCTATATGTGCTTGAATACACTGATGGTTTGTATTTCAGATCATCCTTCATTAAATTGTCAACATCATACCCGTGCCAGTGGGTACCACCAAGGTGGAAAACACCGTGATATAACGGAAATAGTTTTTAAGGAGGGCACTTGTTCATGGAAACAATAGCTTAACGTAACCATGACGGCTGAGATGCCAGATTAGCTTCACCAAATGTGTTCGATCATAAGAAACCACCACGTTGCAAAATAAGGTCTGTCTTGGGGCAAATGTGCGGCGGAGAAAAGTGACCTGTGCATCTCTGCTCCCATACAAGCACATCTTGAAGTATAACATAAGTTTGGTGATAGCTGAGCATACACGTGGATACTTAGTGGGTTGCGAGTTTTGGAGTGTAGTTCCGGTAAGAAAATCTGACTTACCATCACATTTGGTGGTTGTGACGTTCTTGACGTAGCCGCTGTCGCAGTTGCAGGAGAAGGAGCCTGGAGAGTTGCTACAGGTTGAGTTTGGTGTCCCACTACATTGGTTGGTGTCCTGGCACTCATCAATATCTGTCACACAAGAAAGCAGACAGTATGATGACGTTGAATGAGAAGTTAAACAACATGTGGGGCTCAATGTTATCAATCTAGTGTCAGAATCATGACTTGAGACGTGACTTGGAAAGTTGTGAAGTCAATGTTTGAGTTTTATATTGTATTGTAACCATGCATGAGAAACATTATTGTATTTATCGTAAAGGTTGGATTCATACGTCACAATTAGACAATACCAGGGTTGTACAATAAATGTTGTTTCAGTGATAGTAATGGTTGATACAATTAAAAGAGTAAATGCTACATTTTAAAAATGTAGAAGCTATGGTTGTAAGAGTAGCTATAGCCTTCAGTGCTATAGTTGTAGGCGATGACTTCACTTACCATCACAGAGATCGTTGGTGGTGTTCATGAGGAAGCCTGAGTCACAATCACATCTGTAACTTCCGTCTGTGTTGTTGCAGTTGGAGTTGATCAGTCCGGAGCAGATGGTCATGTTTTCGGTGCAGTCGTTCACGTCTGACAAGTGATTAAAATAAAATGTACAATTTACAGATAAAACGTATAGTATATGTTCCTTAAAAACTATAAATATGATGATTCTTTTACAAAGTTGTTTACTTGAAAGAGTGGCAATGATCTTCAAAACTGGCTTGATGTACTTGAGCTTGGTTTCCACACCAATATCAACTTATTCTTCCAGCTATGTCATCAGGGGATATTCTGTATTGATCTTCTGTTTCCTTCAATTCATATATATTACAGAAATACATTGCATCAAACGTTTGGAGTCATTTTCCGACTTATAAGTGTTTATGTAATAATTGCAGGTTTACACATAGTGTCTGATGAATTGAAAGTAGCCATGCATGATAAAAGGTTTTGAAATAATCTCTTCATTGCATTAAGAACCCCCGAGAGAAAAATATGGTATGTTTTACAATCCGCACACATAGTGATTTTCTCTGAAGTAATTTGACGTCAAACGTCTTTATGATGTCACAGCACAATTGTATCCCAGCACCTATAAGGTCACATATAACAAAAGTCCCATTGCCACAGGACCATGGAATTGAAAACTCGTCAACACGGACTATTCTAATGGCAACGGTAACGGCTGGCCCTTTTATCTAAGGCACCACAGTTCGCTGTGCAGTTTGCTGTTCGCCGTGCTCTATATGTGCTTGAATACACTGTTGCTTTGAATTTCAGGTCCTCTTTCATTAAATTGTCAGCACCATACCCGTGCCAGTGGCTATCACCAAAGTGTAAAACACCTGATATAACGGAAATATTTTTCAACGGGGTACTTAACCCAACTCACTCACTTTTGTTCCTGAAAACAATAGCTTAACGTAACCTTTACGAGTGAGATGCCAGATCACCTTCACCAAATGTGTTTGATCCTAAGAAACCACCATGTTGCAAAATTAGGTCTGTCTTGGGGCAAATGTGCGGCGGAGAAAAGTGACCTGTGCATCTCTGCTCCCATACAAGCACATCTTGAAGTATAACATAAGTTTGGTGATAGCTGAGCATACACGTGGATACTTAGTGGGTTGCGAGTTTTGGAGTGTAGTTCCGGTAAGAAAATCTGACTTACCATCACATTTGGTGGTTGTGACGTTCTTGACGTAGCCGCTGTCGCAGTTGCAGGAGAAGGAGCCTGGAGAGTTGCTACAGGTTGAGTTTGGTGTCCCGCTACATTGGTTGGTGTCCTGGCACTCATCAATATCTGTCACACAAGAAAGCAGACAGTATAACGACGTTGAATGAGAAGTTAAACAACATGTGGGGCTCAATGTTATCAATCTAGTGTAAGAATCATGACTTGAGACGTGACTTGGAAAGTTGTGAAGTCAATATTTGAGTTTTATATTGTATTGTAACCATGCATGAGAAACATTATTGTATTTATCGTAAAGGTTGGATTCATACGTCACAATTAGACAATACCAGGGTTGTACAATAAATGTTGTTTCAGTGATAGTAATGGTTGATACAATTAAAAGAGTAAATGCTACATTTTAAAAATGTAGAAGCTATGGTTGTAAGAGTAGCTATAGCCTTCAGTGCTATAGTTGTAGGCGATGACTTCACTTACCATCACAGAGATCGTTGGTGGTGTTCATGAGGAAGCCTGAGTCACAATCACATCTGTAACTTCCGTCTGTGTTGTTGCAGTTGGAGTTGATCAGTCCGGAGCAGATGGTCATGTTTTCGGTGCAGTCGTTCACGTCTGACAAGTGATTAAAATAAAATGTACAATTTACAGAAAAAACATATAGTATATGTTCCTTAAAAACTATAAATATGATGCTTCTTTTAACAAAGTTGTCTACTTGAAAGAGCGGTAATGATCTTCAAAACTGGCTTGATGTACTTGAGCTTGGTTTCCACACCAATATCAACATATTCCCCCAGCTGTGTCTTCAGGGAACATTCTGTATTGATCTTCTGTTTCCTTCAATTCATATTTATTACAGAAATACATTGCATCAAACGTTTGGAGTCATTTTCCGACTTATAAGTGTTCATGTAATAATTGCAGGTTTACACATAATGTCTGATGAATTGAAAGTAGCCATGCATGATAAAAGGTTTTGAAATAATCTCTTCATTGCATTAAGAACCCCCGAGAGAAAAATATGGTATGTTTTACAATCCGCACACATAGTGATTTTCTCTGAAGTAAATTGACGTCAAACGTCTTTATGATGTCACAGCACAATTGTATCCTAGCACCTATAAGGTCACATATTACAAAAGTCTCATTGCCACAGGACCAAGGAATTAAAAATTCGTCAACACGGACTACTCTAATGGCAACGGTAACGGCTGGCCCTTTCATCTAAGGCACCGCATTTCGCTGTGTAGTTCGCTGTTCGCCGTGCTCTATATGTGCTTTAATACACTGTTGCTTTGAATTTCAGGTCCTCCTTCATTAAATTGTCAGCCAGTAGGTACCATCAAAGTGGAAAACACCTTGATATAACGGAAATATTTTTCAACGGGGCACTTAACCCAACTTACTCACTCTTGTTCATGAAAACAATAACTTAACGTAACCATGACAGCTGAGATGACAGATCACCTTCACCAAATGTGTTCGATCCTACGAAAGCACCACGTTGCAAAATTAGATGTGTCTTGGGGCAAATGTGCGGCGGATAAAAGTGACCTGTGCATCTCTGCTCCCATACAAGCACATCTTGAAGTATTACATAAGTTGAGTGATAGCTGAGCAAACACGAGGATATTTAGTGGGTTGCGAGTTTTGGAGTATGTTTCTGGTAAGGAAATCTGACTTACCATCACATTTGGTGGTTGTGACGTTCTTGACGTAGCCGCTGTCGCAGCTGCAGGAGAAGGAGCCTGGAGAGTTGCTACAGGTTGAGTTTGGTGTCCCGCTACATTGGTTGGTGTCCTGGCACTCATCAATATCTGTCACACAAGAAAGCAGACAGTACGACGACGTTGAATGAGAAGTTATACGACATGTGGGTCTTCTTGTTATCAATCTAGTGTAAGAAGCATGAATTGATATATGACTTGGAAGGTTGTGAAGTCAATATTTGAGTGTTATCATCTTTTAACGTATTTTCCGTGACTGAAACCCCCGACTTTTCGCTCTCCGGGCTGGCGCTCTACAACTAGACGACGGATCGGAGTTAATGGTATGCTTCAGTTCTAGGTGCACATAATTCTGTTGCATAAGAAGAGTGCGTGAGTCACATCAGCAATATTTCAGCCATGTCGTGACTGTATAAGCATATCGTACATGAGTTGATTGTATTATTGAATATTACAACGTGCTATAGTGACAGATAAATGTATTGCTTTTTAAAGTAGATGCAACAGTTTTTTGGTTAGATGTTGCAGTAATATGTGTTTATACAATAGTTGTTGCTGACATTACAGTTATGCATATGCTACATTATCGGTACATACTACGGTTGTAATAATAGATACTTTATCCTCGGAGTAGATGCAGTTTTAGACGATGATTCACAGGATTTATTTGCAGTTACAACAGTTACACGTTTTGATACAACTACCCTACAACTTAAGGAGTTAGTTTTTAGTTAAATCAAGATTGAGAAGGTATAGAAGAAGACGACGATGAAGAAGATGAAGATGATGATGAAGGAGACAATGAAGATGGTAAAGGATAACGCATTATATAAAGAAGAGATAAAGAAGGAATAGGAGATGAAGAAGAATATAATTTTATTGATGAAGATGATAAAATGAGAAGTCGAAGATGATGAAAAAAGATGACAAAGAAGACTAAAAGTAATGATAAAAATGACAAAATAAGAAGAAGATGATGGAGAAAATGAAGAAGATACAAACGGAGATGATGATGAAGAAGATAAGAAGAACAAGATGAAGATGAAAATGAGATGACGATGATGAAGAAGGCGATAGAGAAGAAAAGAAGGTGAAAAAAGAAGCAAAAGCGGAAATTGATGATGAAGAAGATAGAACAGGATAAGGAGATGAAGATAATATAAAGATGATAAAGATGATAAAAACGAGAAGACGAAGAGGCGAAGAAGGTGAAAAAGAAGGCGAATAAGATTAAAATGAAGACGATAGAAAAGGCATATCAGATGAAGCTAAGAGTGAGTGAGTGAGTGAGTTGGGTTTAACGCCGCTTTTAACAGTATTCCAGTTAGATCACGGCGTGTCAGCTTAATGTGGGAGGAAATCCCGAAGTGATGCAGGTCTCAGACGTTAACTACTTCGGTATGGCACGGGTATGGTGCTCACAAACCTAGAAACGTAATCGGTGCGACCGGGGGTCGAACCCATAATCATAGGTTTCCGGCATGCCCAAGGGACGCAACTCTGCACAGTGAATTGCGGCGCCTTAGACGACTGGGCAACCCGTGCCACCAGATGAAGATAAGATGAACAAGAAGACGAGAAGGAGGAAAAAATGAAGGAGACGATGAAAATGAAAAAAATGAGAACATGAAGAAGAAGACGATAGTGAAGAAAACGAATAATAATTTGAAAATGAAGATGAAGAAAAGAAGATAATGAAGAAAGATAAGAAGATGATGAAGAAGAATATGAAAAATGATGACATGAAGAAGATGACGCACACAATGAGAAGATAAAAAAAAGAACACGATAAATTGATGATGATCAATGAGAAAATTAGAAGGTAATGGTAAATAACGAGACGAAGCTGATGAACAATATGAAAAAAAGAGAAATGATGAAGAAAATGAGAAGGTGAGAAAGAAAGTGAAGAAGATGACAAAGAGGAAGAGATGAATAAGGAGATGGGGAAACGAGAAGAAAATGAAGAAATGAGATGATGCTGAGAAAGGAGAACAATAGAAAGGAGAAGAAGATGATGACCAAGAAGATAAGACGAAGTAGAGGAGGTTAAAAGAGAGGAAGAAGATGAAGAAAAAGACGAAGATGATGAAATACAAAATGAACAAAAAGTAGGAAACGATCAAATAGAAGAAGAGGATACGAAGATGATGATGAAGAAGATGACGAAAGAGGAGTATGAGAAGGTGATGAAGACGATAGAAAAGGAAAAGGAGATAGAGATAAGAAGATGAAAAAGAAAACGAGGATGAACATGAAGGTGAAAATTGAGAAGATGAAGAAGAAGAAGATGAGAAGATGAAAAAGAAGAAGCTGATGACCATGAAGATGGTGCAAAAAATGAGAAGATATTGAAAACAAAAGATAAAGGAGAAGATAATGATGAAGAAGATAAGAATGAGGAGGAGAAGTGAAAAGGGAGAATATGAAGATGATGATGAAGAAGATAAAAGGACATACACAAGAAAAGATGAAGATAAGAAGCAGCTGATGAAGAGGAAAAGAAAATGATACAAAATAAGAAGATGAAAAATGAAAAGATGAAGAATATGACGTAGAAAATGACGAGGTGAAAAAAGACGATGAAAATGCTGAGGAATAAGGAGATGGAAAAAGAGAAGTGAGAAGTTGATGATGAAGAAGGATGAACAAGATGAAACAAATTGAAGATGAGGAAGATAATATGAAAGTGAAAAAGAAATCGAAGATGTCAATGAAGAAGAAGATGAGATAAATGAGAGATGAAAAAGAAGAAGACCATGATAAGAAGATGGAACGTGTTGAAGAAGGAGATGACGATGATGAAAGAAATTAAAAAAAGATTACGAATAAGATGATGATGAAGAGAATGATGGAGACGATACAATTTTTAATAAGAAAAAGAGGGAAACGATGAAATAGAAGAATATGAAGACACGAAGAAGATGATGAAGAAGAGGATAAAAATTGAGAAGACGAAAAAAATGAAGCAGAAGAATATGAGAAGGTGATAAAAAAACATAGAAGAGGAAAAAGATATGAAAATAAAAAGATTATGAACAAGAAGATGAAAATTGAGAAGATTAAGAAGAAGACGAGAAGGTGATAAAGATGAAGAAGCGGTTAAGATGATTCTAGAAGATGATGAAAAAGGTGGAGATAAAGGAGAAGAAGATAAGAATCAGAAGATGAAGAAAAGAAAAAATATGAGGACGATGATGAAGGTAAAGAAAACGGCGCAGATGATGATAAAGTAGCTTATTAAGATGGATATTAAAAAGAAAAAAGAAGAGAAAGAGAAAGAAGAAAACGAATGAGAAGATACAAAAGAAGAAGATGAAGATAAGAAGCAGATGACGAAGATGATGAAGAAGAAGATAAAAAATGAGAAGATGAGTCTTCTAAAGACTAAAGAGAAGAAGATGATGAGGACTTAGGGAGATGAAAATGGGAAGAAACTGAGAACATGATGAATAAGAAGATAAAGGAGAAGGTGATGATGAAAAAGATGATGAAGATAAACAAGACAAAGGAAGGAGAAAAAATGATGATGAAGTAGAAATGATTAAGAAGAAGATGGTGATTTAGAAAAAGAAGAAGAAAAAGATGTGAAGAAAACTATGAAGAAGGTGGTAGTAAAGAATAATAGTGATAATAGGATGATGACGTTAAAGAAGATGAAAAAGAAGAAGACGAAGAAAATGAATATGCCTAATGGACAAGATGCATATATCAATTAAAATACAGATTCATAACATTTAATTTTACTTAGGATAAGGTGGGGTTAAAGCGAAAGCTTGTGTTTTCTTCGCCTGAAACATTTAGGATAGTAATGCGGCTGGGGGTTAATAGACGTACGGTCTAGTACAGAAGCGTGGGTCTACGCTCTCTGTTTGTCTAAATGTTTCCTAACAGAACTATAAAAGCACCGACTGAGGTGTCACACAACCGCAGCTGTTCACTAGCGTGGTATTCTTACGTCATCAATGCAAAGATAGTGTTTAAAGGGACACGTTGAGTTCTTAGTGTGAAACAGAACATTCTCTTCTATATAGTGAGGATAATCTTTAATAAAAAATAATAAATCTTGAACTTCTTGACTCAAACAAGCAAGGAATGTCACCATACGCCATACCATACTAGTACTTACCATCACACATCTTAGAGATAGGCTTTTCCAGGTACCCGCTGTTACATTTGCAGGAGAAGGAGCCGACGGTGTTGTTACAGTTAGAGTTGGGTGTGCCGGAGCATATGTTGGCGTTGTCCGTGCATTCATCAACATCGGTGCTACAATTATCGCCCTTCCACCCATTCACACACGTGCACGTGCCATTAACACTGTTGCAGTTGACGGAGTTGACGCCACACGTGCATCTGTTGGCACAGTTCTTACCCCAGTGGTTTGCGTCACAGGCTGAAATATTTGAATTGCTTCTTCAGTAACATCTACGTATTGGGCGATTGGTAGACGGAGACTCAGTGCATTTCATTGTGTCATGCCAATTGATACATGATATTTGCAGAACAGCAAATATCTCCTTCACAGAGGTAACAATGTTACCCAGTGGTCTCCAAATTGAATTCAAATCATATCACATTTCTGAAATGATATTTCCCCGAAAATAAAGTCATTCGCATTTTTCATAAGGCTTGTCCATCTGCACGCAGAGCGGAAGGTCGATGGTTTGTCATACCATAAGATGTAAATTATTAGAGGATAAAACAACAAGTGGTCAGCTCGGTGGCAGTATACTGTGTCTAAGTGGAGTATTCATGCTAAACTCAGTGGGTGGCATGGTACTCAGAGGGCTAACCCTACAAAACCAGCATGAGTCCGGGAGAGTACAAGCACCTACACACACGAGCGAACACCTGGTGTCATCACTGATTTTCAGTGATCGATTCAAATAATTAAATCTATTTTGCCTTTTACCCCCAATGGAATCGGTTTCGTCGGATGATCAAGACCAATACTTCCCCAGAATTATCCAATTATGCATTGTAACCTATATACATATACTTGTAAGACGAGCGTACGTATAACTATCATAAAAATATAAGGTATGATCGGTGTGTTGTTTTTGGATGATTGCATCATATCTCTAACA